AACCCGGGTCTTCGGCGTGACGAGCCAACGCTTTAACCACTAGGCTAGCCCACCGCCCCCGACATATAGTAACTTCCACATCACTACCTACGTTAGACAGTAGTATTTTCCAGACAGATAATTATTGTTAAAACAAATGTTATGAACGTCTCCTGAATCTTAACAGAGACAATGTCATACAGTTACAACGTTGTCATACATAACACCGCCATATGACAGCAAAACCTCATTCGACATACCATTAAGTCGTGATGCGTCTACCTGCTGACAGATTGGCTTCTTCAAGCAACATGGAATGCCCATTTTACTGTCTGGTCACTCCATTAAGAAATTACATGTATTCAGTTGTAACATCTTACACAAGGGATGAGATAGTGTAGAGTTGAGTTTGGGCGAGTGCTCGCGTCTAACAGGTGTGTTCACATCGACTGCAAGTGGATAAATGTGTCCTTGGTGGTAATATAGTAAAACAGATCTGTCACGTGAGTTCTTTTAATCCTTCAGCATCAACATTCAGTCACACTGAAGAAAAACAGTAAATTCATTCAAAAATTTAATTCATCAAAACTGTTGTTTCGGCCTTTCATTATTATTTTTAAGTCTTGGCACGTGTCCACTGACTGCGTCTGAAGAATGACGTGACGCCTCCTATACAAAAAGACACTGAATTAAAAGAGTAACTACAAGCGTCCGATAAAAGCAGTGAATGAAAGAAGATCAACAGTCTCTAACAGGGCACGTTTCGTTCGCTTCAGGCAACACATTTTACGCTTATAAAATAAACATCATGTGGAAGTCATACCCTGTCTTTCTGATTTCCCTCAAGAGTGTTCATCACATGTCATCATGTTGTCACGTATTTTTAAAAAGCTGTGTTCTAAAAGCACTTGGGGTTGTTTTTTGATTAACGTTTTGCTTTGAAAGAAGAGTGTTCATCACATGTCATCATGGTAACCACAGCATAAAATTTTGATTTGGGTACAAGAAAGTCATTCCTCAAATATTTCAATTCTAATCGGTATCGCCATAACTTAAACCTCCAAATCATAGCAATAACTGAAGGTAGTGTATTGATTACACATACAGAAACAACTTGCACTGAAAGAATGGTTTCAATGGTGTTTTAAGTATGGATCATTTTGACAACGGGGACGTCATTTCTATATCACGTTTTAGGAATCACATTCAATTTATTGTACCTGAAGAGTCGCGATCGATTCTTGTTTACACAGTGGTCGATGACAGCCGTCTGGCAATACCATGCCATGTGGAATTAGCTGAAATGAATTCAAATGGATCTATAATATCACTAAAATATTGTTGTCACGTATTTTTAAATAGCTGTCTTGTAAAAGCACTTGGGGTTTTTTTTATTAACGTTTTGCTTTAAAAGAAGACTTCAGTTGTTTTCGGTTCTGTATTCTGGAGATGTAAATTGACTTATGATAGTAACTAGTGATGAACATTCATCAGCCATTGTCGTAGATTTGTTAAATTCCCTTACGGTATTTCCGTTTGGGTTTACAGATGTTTATATTGGAATTCATATTATCCTACATATATACATGTGTGAATAACTTAACTGGTGAAGAAGTTTAATAATGTATGCAAAATAAGGATATTCTTGACGAAATGGTGCTTATAAAGCTCAATAGTTGGAGCTACCATCCACGCTTACGATCAATTTATACACTACACGCCAAAAGAAACGTTATCCTCCTACCTTTATGAATTACTGAAAAACTATCAAAGATATGTTAGAAGGTATTAGACAAAAATTATCAAATGCATTCATGTTTAGGTGAAATGCATCCTTTTCAGAAGAATTAAATTGTCCTATTTTCGTCCATGTCGAAATAAACCAACAACAGTGATTTCGATGTCCAAAAGAAACATTGAAATAAAATTCTGCTTTGAGACAAAGATAAACCACTTCAAGTCACCATTTTCCAACTGTTAAAACGAGAAACAACTGTTGAAGAGTGTAAAATTGGAAAGCAACTAATGACTAATGACCACATTGAAGTTAATGTTTTGCACTGGCGGAGCCAAGGTGGGGTTCAGGGGGTTCGAACCTCTTTCAAAATTTCTGGATCCGCCTATGATCATCCCTATGATTATAGTCTTTTAAAACATTCTCTGTTGATTTTCATTAGTGATAACAAGGAAAACGTGTCTTTGGTATTGTGAAAAAGTGTTCAGGAACATCTAAAATTAGCTTTGTTAACATTATTCCATTTTCTGTGTGACCATAACAATATCAATCGCCAAAACGCAGCAGAAATATTCAAGCGGTATTTGCATCCATTTCACATGTGGAATGATTCTATAGGGTATAAAGAGAGACTAGAATGCATGATATGATACACAAGAACGAGAAATATGCCACGATTAACAGCTGAAGAGAGAGAAAGAGCTACTGGGATGATGCAGATGGGGTCGACATACAATGCTGCTGCCAACGCCCTCGGATGCCACCGTATCACGGTTCTAAGACTTCTTCGGGTCTTCGGTCAGACTGGGTCACCGTAGACAGACCAAGACGTGGACGTCCACGCATCACAACGCCAGCTGAAGATAGGTACCTCCGTCACGTTTCTTTTGGCGTTTAGTGTATATGAAGGTAATGTTTATGGGGGTAGGGGGTGCAGTTGAGAGTAGTATATTGTCGAAAACTGTTAATATCTGTACATCAATCAGCATGCAACATTCCTTTGAGATGTTGACTTGTTTACCGGATATTCTATTCACCGCAAGCCATGCGGCACATGAACGTAAAAAAGTCTTATTTTTATCGATTACATACTCTTCCCATAAGAAACATTTACCGCTGTCTAAAGTTATCTGCTTCAAGAAGAAGATTTATAAAGTTATATCTTAAGCAGTTATCCCAATGCAATATGGTTGGTTTTATGAAAACGTCTGCAAGGTAAATTTCAAAATGGATTCGATCCTTGGAAATCCAGGTTAGAACTGATCTTCATCAAGACATGTTGATAAATAACTACATCTACATCTGCCGTATTCAGCAAAACCACTTCAGACACTCTACCCATTGAATATTAACATATACGGTTAGTATAAATTAAACCGTTCATGGTGTACTGTCGCTAAAGCACAGCCGTGATAAGTAGATTGCTGGTTTGACAGTCGGAGTGGAAGGAGATGACGCGAGCATCCCTCAGTTATCAGGGCTTCTATTCTCGCCAACAGCGGACACGACCTACACTTGGCCTTTCCTGATTACGTGTGCTGAGGTCGTGCCCTGTCTGATTCAATAACAGTTGACTCTTACGAGCTATAACTGCCGTCACGTACGAGATCTACTGAACTGAAACTATACCGCATCCAGCACAATGACAGGTCCTATGTATGACCAAGGCGTTCGACATCATGCTTATAAATGTACCTTTCGCTAATAAGATCTGGGCCTCTTTTCACAAAGCACTAACGTGATCGTAAGTCACTGAGTAACCTTAGAGCAATGTTAAAGAATGGGAGTTAAGGTTAACCTTCGTAATGCTTGCTTCGTGAAAGGAGACCCTGATCCTCATAAACACATGGTTGCTAGTACAAAAGGGATTGTCGGATAAACCGACAATACCTTTTGTAGGAGCAACTAACGGAGTCGCGTGATGAGGCTACGTGATTTGTTTTATGTTTGTCATAATTCTAACAGTTGCTAAGATCGATGTTCATGATGACGATGGCTGGGTTTCCTGGTCCAGAATCGATTCATTACAGCCCGCAGTCATATAACAGCTATGTTGCTGAGCGAGGCGTTAATCAAGTTACAAACATCCGTCGTTGTAGTCTTAACGCACATTAGAGCATTATGCATGTACATACATAAAGGTTTAATCCTACAATATCGATACCGTCAAGACGGGTTGCTTACATTCAACTCAAACAGACAAGATAACTTTATGTTGTACTTCCTGACGTCGGTATCGAGTTATTCTCAGTTAGAACCCATTTACGTTATTCTAATTTCAGACTCTGACGAGTGTTCAAGCTACCTTTAAATGCATAAGCTTAAATTGCATTTTGTCCCGACTACAATCGTCTTGTATTGTGTCGTGTCCAAAGTCGTATTCCTGATCCTATATAATTCTGGCAGTACTGAGCTTTATATAGGTTGTAAATGTAAGTCTGTTCATAAGACGTGTTCCAGTTGTTTTAAGCTTTCCACGTTGATGGACTGCATTTTTTCCTCTTCATCACCGCGGTCTACTTCCTGTCGTAATGTCTACCATTACTATAAGCCGGGACTCGAGCACTCCCTCAGAACAGAGGGTTAACTATCTCTTTGTGACATGTGTATTAAGTAGCATCAGTCTGGATAAACTACGAAACACTCAGACGGATCCCCGCGGGCAACCACTGCCAGCCATCATGGCGGCTAGCGGAGCTATTGATAGTGTCGGCAATGTCAAGGTCACGCGATCAGTTTATCTGAGGTAAAGATAATTACAGTTCCTGGGACTTGTGCTAAATAGCGAGCGAGTAATTTGGAATGATCAGTCAGTGTGTTGGTAGATTACAGGTCCCGAAAGTCTCCATATATGAGGTGCTCTGTAATTAAGGGAAAGGTTTGCAAGTACAAGATTAATTAGAAACGATTTGCCTTCTTACAGGTAGTCGATTTGTGATTGCATGGGTTCCGTCACTGGTATCAATCACATGACCGTGGAATGGAACTCAATCATTCGCACACGAGCACACCAGACAACGAATGTTTTCCGAAGCGTTGCGACTTTTGAGCCACTGAAAATATTGTATGTTCACAGATGAATCTGTTGTAAATGATTTGTGTAACATTCATCTTCAATTAGTTGATACAACAATAGATATTGACCCAGATTCATAGTGTGTATATATTTTGGACCTAATTTAAAAAAGAGCCTCTGTATTTAATACTACTTGCGCCACAGTCCCAACTATTTCCACAGAGAAAAATCATATCTTTCGCCCCTCTACAATGTATTTGTATCTAATTTTCTTCCTTGATGTTTCTTATTGAATTATATTTTTTCCAGAAATGTGCAATGTATCCTCTTTACTGCGGTTGTCTGAAGATATCTGCATGGATACAAATAATCTATCGATCTAAACAACTCATCTAAAATTTCAAAGTGACCAACAACAATCGAGAATATTCCAGAGACATCATATTAGAATGCTACATAACTGAACAACCGCAATATATTGTATTTGAAAATATTCCCACATTTCAATCGGTCATTGAATAATTGTCTAACATGGTTTAATATCTGTTTAAGATCAAGGTTGAAGTATACCAACACGAACATGGTCTAATATCTGCTAAAGATCAAGATTGAAGTGTACCAACACGAACATGGTCTAATATCTGCTAAAGATCACGGTTGAAGTATACCAACACGAACATGGTCTAATATCTGCTAAAGATCAAGATTGAAGTGTACCAACACGAACATGGTCTAATATCTGTTAAAGATCACGGTTGAAGTATACTAACACAAACATGGTCTAATATCTGCTAAAGATCAAGATTGAAGTGTACCAACACGAACATGGTCCAATATCTGTTTAAGACCAGCCCGAAGTGTACCAACACGAACATGGTCTAATATCTATTAAAGATCAAGACTGAAGTGTACCAACACGAACATGGTCTAATATCTGCTAAAGATCAAGATTGAAGTGTACCAACACGAACATGGTCTAATATCTGTTAAAGATCAAGATTGAAGTGTACCAACACGAACATGGTCTAATATCTGTTAAAGATCACGGTTGAAGTATACCAACACGAACATGGTCTAATATCTGCTAAAGATCAAGGTTGAAGTGTACCAACACGAACATGGTCTAATATCTGTTAAAGATCAAGATTGAAGTGTACCAACACGAACATGGTCCAATATCTGTTTAAGATCAAGGCTGAAGTGTACCAACACGAACATTGTCTAATATCTATTAAAGATCAAGGCTGAAGTGTACCAACACGAACATGGTCTAATATCTATTAAAGATCAAGGTTGAAGTATACCAACACGAACATGGTCTAATATCTATTAAAGATCAAGATTGAAGTGTACCAACACGAACATTGTCTAATATCTATTAAAGATCAAGGTTGAAGTGTACCAACACGAACATGGTCTAATATCTGTTAAAGATCAAGATTGAAGTGTACCAACACGAACATGGTCCAATATCTGTTTAAGATCAAGGCTGAAGTGTACCAACACGAACATTGTCTAATATCTATTAAAGATCAAGGCTGAAGTGTACCAACACGAACATGGTCTAATATCTATTAAAGATCAAGGTTGAAGTATACCAACACGAACATGGTCTAATATCTATTAAAGATCAAGATTGAAGTGTACCAACACGAACATTGTCTAATATCTATTAAAGATCAAGGTTGAAGTGTACCAACACGAACATGGTCTAATATCTGTTAAAGATCAAGATTGAAGTGTACCAACACGAACATGGTCCAATATCTGTTTAAGATCAAGGCTGAAGTGTACCAACACGAACATTGTCTAATATCTATTAAAGATCAAGGCTGAAGTGTACCAACACGAACATGGTCTAATATCTATTAAAGATCAAGGTTGAAGTATACCAACACGAACATGGTCTAATATCTATTAAAGATCAAGATTGAAGTGTACCAACACGAACATTGTCTAATATCTATTAAAGATCAAGGTTGAAGTATACCAACACGAACATGGTCTAATATATATTAAAGATCAAGATTGAAGTGTACCAACACGAACATTGTACTAATATATGTTAAAGTTCACACGGTCAAAAACACATCCTGTTCTGTTTTACTACAAGCAAATGAGACCATACGCTGCTACCATCACCATGACAATCCAGTAGTACCTCTTCAATCCTCCCGAACTAGATGTCTCCTGGCTATATTTATTGCCAGAACGCTTGCCTTGTAATTGAAGCCCACGTTTGGCCGTCTTGACCACTGGTCAGTTAAAGAGAGAACACAGCATTGATCTCCTTGTGCGTAAACTGGTAAATCAGCACCGGGATTTAATAAGGCCCAGCATTGTTTGACATCGTTCATTGTAGGTCTTCTTTATTGGACAATGTTCATGGTTTCATTGACGAGGTTACCCATGAGGCAAATTGAGTTGGTGTCGGGAAGGGAGGATGGTACTATGATTAAAGACAAACACTAGAAATGTCAGCCGGATGAAGGATTCGCGAGATACGCCAAATTGAATCACTTTTCTCATCAGGAGAAAAGTTGTAATGTAATGTAAAATTGTCCCTTGGTCGTGTCTCGGGGTTGCATTCAAAAACCGTAATAATGTAGACCATATGTTGTGTCGAAGAACGCATTACCCCGATTTAGCTACGGAATTAACTTTGGATAAAAACAAGCCAGGTTCAAAACGAATTGACTGCTCATTCAGTGTTCATTTCCATTCGAACTAACGTTCAGATAAATGCTAAATTAACAGCGCTTCTATGTTATCTTTAACTAACTAAATTAAGTAGATGTTCGCTGAACCAGCTTCGAGATTGCATTACTGCGGAAAACGAGGTTTGCACTGAATATTTAATGCAAAGGAGCGCACGTCAAGGCAACGATTGACCTCTTCTAACTGCAATTCAGTGGTCAAACAGTTTGGTGATGGTTTGTGGTAACACTTGGCTTTTATTTCCAAACTTCAACGATGTGAAGAAGAAGTTCAAACCTTTGTAGTTACTTGGTGAAGGTACAGAAGGTCAGTTAGTTCAAGCTTTTCAGGCCGTGTCTCCTACATACATAACCCTCACCATTCGCCCCAAGTCACGGAGTCCATTGTATTAGACAAGGTCATCAGAAGTTGAGACCATATAACTGTTCACCCAACAACATCCAGTCAGCCATCAGGCAACACATTATCCTGTCAGTGACTCAAACAAGATGGTAACTCTTTTGTAAGTCTTCTTTTTATAATGACATTAGAATCAGGGTAAACAAATTCCAACTAGCGTTTTCTGTGGAACAAGGAACATGAGTCCTTACAACACGATGGTGGAATGAAGTGAGTAACCTATTTCAGATAACTTCGTCAGTAGTCGTTGAGGTGTTAGTAGTTTAATCATTAGTTTGTGTTCTTATCGTACAATAGTAACATGGAACATGATCTGCAGTACATTCTTCAAACACCCACATTATGTGTTCCATGCTGTGCAATCGTAATGGTCGTAACAGCTGAAGACTTATTAGAATTCAATCAAGAAAGCTATTCCGATATCTATTCGGAATAGGCAAGAAATTATATCGATTCCATACATGATAACAAATCATAAAAATCTGAAACCTTTCAAGTGGGAATGTGTTCTGACAAGGAGGCGAGTTCGCACATACATTATGCTAAATATCCACAAACCTTGCAGTTTCTCTTACTCAAGGGAATTACCTAGACAAAGCAAAACACATATCTAAAGAGCAATGTTGACCCTGGCAATTTTTGCAGCATGTGATACAATCAAGGAAGCTAAATCATTCGTCTTTTAATAGCTATACTCAACAGAACCCGTTTGACGAAGGCAAATAATCATCAATGCAGGATTAAAAGTTGAACCATTAATCAGCAACACGTACTCAGAATGAGTTTAAAAACTTGTCAGTTTGCCATTACAGCCAGTCAGCAGTCCAAACATTACGTTCTGCAATCGTCTAAGCAAAACACGTACGTTCGGCTATTCCAGATCATAATGTCTTCAGTAAAGCAGCAGTGATGATCGGCTGAGGTCACGTGAACAGACTCAGGAGGAAATATCTGCAGTCAACTGGTGATAGACTATGGCACGCTAATGAGTGAAGGAACTGAGTGTCTTTAAGGGATATATCTCATGAATTCAGCAAACATTTACAGTTGTTACGCGTGTGTGTGTGTACGCCTGCCTTAAGTCAGGTGTAAAGTTTTGCTTGGATCTACAAACTCTATACTCTATACAAATTCATGCAAATACATACACATGTATGCAGATTGGGATAAGGTTCAAGATGCTAGCACTTACATATCCATGTGCATGTACGTGTGTATGTGTGTATTTTGCCGCTCCTAGTACAAATGAAGGTAGTGCTCGCCATTAAGGCCCCGTGCCGCAATATCACACGAGTACACCATCAAGTCGTTATACTCCTGTCTGACTAGTCCTTGTTTCCATGCCGTCTTTCCATCTTTTTAACGTATTTTGGCATTTGATAAAGAAACACCAGAATAAGGTATGACAGGACCGAGGGATCGAAGGCAGAGTTTGACTACTTCACTTCGACGGCACTCAGGAATGCATGCAATCGGTGTGTACCTGTGTTCGGGGCCCGTGAAGGTCCGGGCTAGAATGTACCTTCAGCAACCCATGCTTGTAAGAGGCGACTAACGGGATCGGGTGGTCAGGCTCGCTGGCTTGGTTGACACATGTCATCGGTTCCCAATTGCGCATGTCGATGCTCATGCTGTTGATCACTGGATTGTCTGGTCCAGACTCGATTATTTACAGACTGCCCCCATATAGCTGGAATATTGCTGAGTGCGGCGTAAAACTAAACTCACTCACTCACTGTTAGTGTTCGGTAACTATCAATGTACCAACGTGAACTTCAAATGATGCTACGTCATCTGGAGAAGCAAGATACCATATGTCAATTTAATGTCAACCTGTCTTCATTAATAAAAATAAATCATTTTCGTCTTTAACAGTATGTTTGAGTGACTATTTTTTCACCGTTTTTCACAATACTCATTATGATTTATTGCTTCATATATTGTGAATGTTGATAAACAGGGCCTCGACAAGGCATGATACCATTTTCACAACTAAAGTCCCAAGAATGCTGATGCACCTTCTGAACCCTTCAACATACGTGTACATGTATTTTGATTAAGAATTGATCGTGTGCTTGTTGATGTTCGTCAGCGACTGAACACGGCGACCCCACGCAAGGAACTCATTGAAGCGCGAAATGTTTCATGGTGAATCTGTGCGTGATCAGAATCCTTCGTCAACCGATGAACGTCAACAAGTACGCATTTTATCGTCCAACTGAAAGTTCAGATAGAGCACAAGGATCAAGAATCAACAAGAAGACACATCAAGATTTAATAGAGAGAACAAATTATTACAAGGATGAATGGGTGTCTTGGAATTATAGCAGTAACACGTCCCTGACAGTCTGCCTAGAGTGACTTCCCTTGACGCTGACGAGACAATATTATGTATTCACATCTATAAATTGGAGGAGAAATTGACAGCAACTCTCGACAAAACAACTGAGCGATATATTATATGAATCAATCTTTATCGTTTCACTAAACAATATGATTGAATTACAAATCAAAGTGGCATCGACGTTATTTCAGTAATAAAGCTTAAATAGATAATCCCCTCGAGTTATCAAATTTAATGTATTAAAATGAGATGAAACATACATTGATTATATTTTCTTCAAATTATTTTCAGTAAATATGTCTCAGATATATATATTGAAAAGTCAATGTGTTAAAATGTACCACCTCACAGGTATTTTTCTACACCTTATCAATTATCTCCGCATAATTGTCAGTAGCTCACGTTATTGAAGGAAGTGTGAATTGTGTAACCTATTTAGCACATATAAAGAGTTTTATTACATTTTCATTACATTAATGACTAGTACGTTAAACTTTGCACATTACAGATCCGAAAGTTCAACGAACACTCAAATTTGCATAATGTAAGATGTTTATATATATTTTTCGCTTGGAATTTCATTTGTCTTTAGAAGAGAATCCAAACTTGTAAAATGTCTTCAACGTCATAGTTCACAACTACTTTTCAGTAACGTTGTCTAATGTTTTGAGTAGTTTCTCAATATCACGATACTTCACACGATCGCCGACTGACAATGCCGACGCATTGTTTGGAAACACGGGGAGTAGTACGAACAATCATTTTCGCATATGCGTGTATATTTCAGCCAAATTCTAATTGTCATCATGTCTGGAACAGGTTCAAATGTATATACATATACACGTCCCTGCACTGTTTGTACGCGTTTTTCACGTGATATACCTCAATCCATTTTACAACAGCAAAAATATTCTTACGTGAGAAAAATGTTGTACGGAGAAAGATTTTGCCACACTTAATATATAACTAACTATATCATCTGTAGAATTCAGGTCTGTGGGTTTGATCACAACAGCATGATAAGTGTCCGACGTTAATGACAGAAGGTGACCATTCCTCTGTGATTCCACTTCAAAGAGGGCACTTGAGTCTATTAAAGAGCTGCCTGCGGCTGCATACTGATTACATTCAATCAGTGTGGTATGGAATCTCATTTGATGATCCTTCGGAAGTCTCTGGTATATTTCACAGCAAATCCTGTAATCATAATATGGTCTGTACATAAATGTACCTGAACATGTGGATGACGAATAATAGTGTAAAATATTTTTCATGCCGCTGAAGGTGGTGGTGTGAACAGAGTGAAGAAATCCAGTACCCGCAATCGGAATAAATAACACACACACAAATGTCTTGAATATCGGTTTATCAGTCAGCCCATAGAAACTCGCGACGGAGGAAACCTTTTAATATCCTCAAAGCTGTCATGACCGTCCCAGATTTTGTTCTCAACTGACTCTGCTAGTCTCACATTCAGTCACAGCACCAATCTCACAAGGACTGGAACATGAACTATACACATTCCAATCAACCCGTCACCTTGAGTCGCTACCTCTCCAGAGATCAATACTTTCACAAACTGCGATCAACAACGGATTTATGATTTTGTCAGCTTTATGGTTGTGACCCCAGGTGAACCAAATGCTGGCCCTTTGAAAGGCGAGACGACTACATGTCCTTGGGGTTTGTTCGGGGAACATGATCACTTCTCAAGGGAAGGTGATCATGTTCTTTTTTTATTTTATCGGTCAATAGCCCTGGAGTATGAGTCATTGTCGGAAAACAGGAATGGTGAAATTTGCAGATTGGTGGTATTACACGTATTGGCACAAATCGATATGCTGTTTACTTGATGGAAAGTTCGTATAAGATGAAAACATATTTCAGTTTGATGTATAAGGGCTCTTATGCAAAGAGTATATTTGTGTACATGTAGTCTATAAATGCAGTGGCTGCCCATTGTCTCATTCCAGACAATACATTCTCTTACATACATAGTAATGCGTGTCAAATCACCCATTTCACACATATGTTTTCAGTCATACTGGTTTGATTGAGCTGGGTTACAACCCACCTTGAACAGTTTCTGTATACCCAGCTGCCCAACTCAGCACATGAAAGTCAGCGCCCTTGGTCAACCGTGCACAAGAATGACTGACTTTAGATTCAGATCGTAATTCTTACTACTTCTTTTTTTGTTGGATAAGCTCGAGCTTCCATTATGCTTACGTTGTTTTATTTAACGATAATGTGTTCATCCTTAATATATACTCAACAAAGCGTCAGTGCAGATGATGGGCATGTTGACGGTATCTGAGGATTACCTTTCATATAATAAACATTTCAGGTCCGATCCATATGTTATTCCATGTCATAGCCCTCAAACGTTATTGCTTATGAGTTCAGTAATTTCTATACAAAAATGAAACATACAACTTTATGGATGACAACTTCGTGTTTATTGCATAGAGCAACGTTTCGATGAAGATTCTTACACCGTTATCAAGTTAAAAGAATGGTGGCAAATCTCACCCAACACCTAAGCAATAAATATTTACTTTTAGCTCACACTTTAACGGTGTAAGAATCTACATCGAAACGTCGCTCTATAAAAATAAACAAAAAGTTGTCATCCACAAAGTTATATGTTTCATTTTGACTCACCTACTTCTAGAATGCCCATCAAACAATTGCTATACAGATCATTAACACATATACGATCCAAGCAACTATAGATAACAAATTATCTGAAAGTTTCTTTATTCAGTTGTAGAAGCTATGAGCTCCACTGTTAATAACCACACCCGGATATTGTCTGGAAACAATGCTTGACAATGCTTGGTTTCATGACAAGCAAAAGATGTTGTCAGTGTCGTCAAAGTGTTCTGGAACAGCTCATCGAGCTGCCTTAGTGTTCATCCAGGCAATAAATATTGCAGTCAAATCCATGGGTTAGAGACAATTGTCACCTTGCACCTAATCAATAAATGCAGCTATTGGTGATGGGGTCACAAATTGAAACCATTGAAAACGGGCATAGAAAATGTCTCTGCAGATCATTAAAACTTGTAGGATCCAAGGAACCGTTGTGTTTACTGGCTGCTTATTGTCCATAAAATGTTTCTCACACAGACGTCTTGGGTGATCCTCTCTTGTACTTTCAATATCATGTCAAAGGACTGTCAGATTTTAGGAGAAAGATATCACTTAAACAATGCTCATGGGTAGAGAGTAGGAATTGCAAACACAGCTCTAGTTCCTTAAAAGGAAGCTAATTCAAACGACTTCATTAACTTCACAAGAATAACATCCTGTCCATGAGGTCGAATTTATCAAGAAATCTCCCGATCGGAAATTGGACAGAAAATAATGCATTCCCATACTTCCAAGTTGATTGCAGAGCGACAATATTTCTATTGTAGGCCTTGTGATGGTATACTGTCTGCATTATCACAAAGATCTGTCGTTACAGCATTAGGCCGCGGCAACTCCTGGATGATGGACACCATACATTTTTAGCATGATAACATGTTTTACCACGTGCGTGGTGACATCTTGATGCACCTGTATTCTACTTGTCAACATTATTGACAGTTACGCGAGTTCGTGTAGTGTGAAAGTGTCCATTCTAAGCATATGTCAGCTGCGATTGAAACTGCAATGACAGCTTTTAACATAGGAGTTTATTTAATAAAATTGAGAAGAGTCTTACTTTGCAATAGGTACCAAGAGATCAACCTATTTAAATATTCTTAAAATTGGATAGCTATCTGGGGAGGAAAGATCACAACACATGTAGGTGTAACTTGTCTTGCTTCGAGAAAACCAATTGTCTTGGTCTGAGAAACCACAGCCGATGGATGAATGTAAATACATTAGTGCTTGTCCTCTTGCATGGTGCCGTCAGTTCTGGGACTGATTTATCTTGGTCAACTCACTGAACTGAATGAAGAGTTAACCAAGTGTCGTCAAGTGTGCATGTCACTAATTTCGTCTACTAATGAAATGATGGAGATCACACAAGCGTCGGAACTGCAGTGCGTCAACTGAATGCAATAACGAACTCAAGGCACACACTTCTCAGAATTCAATCATCTGGCCAATTGTAGCCACGGGTACATCGTTAGGTGAACCATCTACTGTTCACTGGAGATACTGAGTGTTACATAGATATTAAACTGTCGAAATAATCTTCAAAGAATGAAGGGTTCTCAAAATGTGTCACACCTTTCTCACTCAGTGTGTCTCTTGTCTGATGACACATGTCTGTGAAATTCCAAATATTTATTCACAATGCTGTTGTTTTTGTTGTTGTCACGAGTTGTCGCAAGTCAGATCAAATCAATAAGTCGTCTTGATCTTGAACAAATACCAAACATCGATGCAAAAGAATTCCCAGTTTTGACTATTCTCAGTAATAGAATTGCTGTGAAAATCATATCAAAGGACCTTGCTTTCATTTAATAGCTCCTTGTCGTTCGTATGAATGTAGTAACATTTGTTTCTGGAATCAGTATGTCTGGACAGTAACGGCTAGTTGAGCGTATTATAACAGATGGTGTTAATGCTGTGTGTAGTACACACTACGTTTTATTCCAACCAATTTGATTGAAACTAGTGCCAGCTTAAACACCGCGTTGTTCAAACAAATCGGGAACAAAATACTGACAATGCTTCCGAGTTGTCTTTTGTGATCGCAATCGGTCATTGTCTGCAAGGATGGTATCTGTGGAACCCAAAGCTATCAGGCATAAGTGGTTTTTGTTCAGTGATTATGGGTTTACCCAACACAATAATTAAACAAATGGAGGACACAAGGTGGAGGTATCGTTTGTAACAGGGCGAGCTTCGTGAAAACGGAAAGCTATGAGTCAAGCCAAGAGGCTCTTTTCGAGGTGCATTGACACCAAGCGAGTCAATGAATACATAGGCTTCACATACTGGCATTGCATCGTCAGAGGGTATAGAACCCTTGTCTTAACCACTGACCTACGCAGTTTTAGGCACAAGTCATGGGATTTGCCAGGCGTGTCGGTAAAACAATTCAATAAAGCATGTCGTTTCCACAAATCATTCATTCAATTTTGAAATCGTTCGGCCTATAATAATGCAAATAACGCTTTTGGTGGACACAACGATTTTAAGTCAACGTTGCAACGTTTCAGACATGTTGATTACATCGTTAGTGGTAACCCAAAGTTGGCGTTATGCTTTATGATAAAGGGTACAGTGTATGGGGTGTTGAGTTGGTGGAGTAAGTGTCACGATTTAGGGAACATATGTAGCCTTGTTCATGTCCATGTCAACGTAACGGGTGTACGTTCTCACCACTCGACACTCTGCAACTGGACCTACTGCACGACTCCCTTCCGAGTTCCTGTGAGCTTAGAGCATAAACGCATTCACTGTGGGTGCCAAGATCTCCGTATATAGATCCTACTGAGCATCTGTGGAGTAGCCGAACAGACGTCAATCAGTGCAGCAATTTCGCAAAACTCTTCAAGGGAAGATTTCATCCTCGGGATTGTCTTAGTTTTTATAGGAAGTAGATTTCGTGCAATAATTCAAAGCCAGTATTGAACACACGCGTTACCATGCTTTATGACATCCTTGCACATGCCAAGGGCACGAAGGGCACAGTGTACATAGAATGCAAGCGAGGTATTTCAATGGCGAGGTACGCATATTTAGCATGCTTTTTCTGAATCTAGCCAATCGCAATGCTGTTAAAAGGGACAGAAAATTCAGTGGTATAAATAAATGCATTTGCTTTATCCAAAAGGACAAGATCAGGGTTGTTGGCTGGAACTCTATTTAGGCTGTATATAGGCCTATTCCAAAGAAGCATGATTTTCAATGACACCCTGTGCATCTTCAGGGTCGTACAATGGATGGACCTCGGACTCAAAGCCATACGCATGGCGAAGACGATAGTAGAAGCAAGGAGCCATGCCAGCATGTCTTTTAAGATATGATGTTTGTGCCAAGGAAGGGCATCCACTGACAAGGTGCTGGACAGTCTCTGTAAATTCATTGCAAAGTCGACATTTCATATTGAGAATCACATTTTTGGGAAGTGACTTTATTATTATTATGGTTTACAGATAAAAAATAGTATACCCACCAAGAACATTCCGGAGAATAGGAAGGCTCCTCAACTCTGCACCCAGAGTGTCAGAAGGGCTGTACTCCCGATGGAGAGCCTGGGCACTCTCCTGATCTGCACCAAGAAATCAGAAGGTACTAAACCAAGGGGGCCGAGAACAAATTCATTCTTTGGCTTTATCACCAAAGGACAAGATCAGGTTATTATCATTATCACTCATACATATTCTTCACGCCGAAGACCTGAGTTCGAATCCCCACATGGGTACAATGTGTGAAGCCCATTTCTGGTGTCCCCCGCCGTGATGTTGTTGGAATATAATATTGCTAAAAGCGGCGTAAAACCACACTCAGTCAGTCAGTCAGTCAGTCATACATATTCTTCAAGTTTCCCAGACTGTCTTCCCCATAATGAAATTAGAATATGAGCAAAAACTTCCGTATCGGACCTTATCAGACTGAACAAACGTTATACGCCTTAGCAGCTTAAGCTTCAGCTTAATTCTACTGAGACGATTATCAAGACATATATTGGAAAATTATATATATTAAAGATCTATCCAATAGGCCTACACGATATTACCGAATACGCCTTTGAAACGATACATATTACAACACTTTTTCTTAGAACCGGTTTTGGGTAAAAAATATATGAAGTGTTGTGATAACCTCAATGGCTTAAGTTAAAATCTAAAAAGACTTTCATGCACAACTGATGTTTCCATTTGAAATTAATTTACAAAAGTAGAAAGTAGAATCCCTAACTACCCAACCTTATTTTGATCTTGCCCATTATCAGAACATACATATTTTAAGGCCTTAATATGTTGAAAAGAGGATATGTACAGTTAGTGTTAGTCTCTGTCAAACACTTTAGTTCCTGCAATGGAGTGTATTTGTCACTACACAGCCCTACAGTTAACTTTAGGAGGTGTTGGCCAAAGGTCAGAGTTTACAAATGCATTGCCTTAGATAACAACAGATGTTGAACATTTGTCTTAAGGCGTTGGCGACGAAAGAACACGAATTGTTTTCTTAAGCGCACAAGTGCATAGTCTAAAGCACACTGTTGACCTGCACATTGAAGACAGTATGTGATGTATCAAAGCAACAATAGAAATACCCAGCAGAAGTTGAAGGATCCATCTGAAGAAGGCAAATAGTCACCGACATATGATAAGAAGTTCATTCATTGATCAGCAACATACATTCAAATAACTTCTTCGAGTTGGGAAGTACAGCATTGGCAATAAAGTCAAGCAACGGTACACGAATCTGTGTCAAAACGTCGCACTCACGAAATAAAGAAGTTTCTATCCATAAAGTTTGTTTATAATATACACAAATACACTCCTAGATTTGTCAGTGTGGTATTTATCATCGCCAGTCAGCAGACCAAAGACAACGTTCAGGAACATACAAGGAACACATGTACATCTTCCTTCCGAGATGATTAAAAACCGTAAACATTCCAGTTCTGCACCAGGCGGCTGAGGTCACGTGAACAGACTCAAGAGGAAACATCTGCAGTCAACGGGTTATCATAAACTATGGCACGCTAATGAGTGGCTGGCTTTAAAGGGACATGTCATTCAGAGTTGTTACGATGGTGTGTGTACCACTAGTTTAAGTCATGTATACAGTTGTCCTTGATTCTACAAACTCTAGAAACAAGTACAAATACATACAAATGTATACAGATTGGGATGAGGTAAAACGGATCAAGATAACTGTACTTATATATCCATGTGCATATACAAGTGTATGTGTGCATTTGCTGCTTCTTGGGACAAATGGGGATAGAACTCGCCCACTAAGATACTATGCCGCAATGTCACAAGAATAAACCAAAGACCATTATATTCCTGGCTGACCCGTCATTGCTTCAATGCCGAGAAGAACAATACCATCTTATAGCGTACTGAGGTACTTGATTAAGCAACACAAGTATAAGTCACCAACACGGGGTTTGAACAACCAGCCTTCTACTCACCACGCAGACTTTCTCTCTGATACAATACGGAGGCACTCAAGAATGCAAGCAATTGTGGGGTATCTGTTAAATATCAATGTGCCAACTTTAAAATGATACTACTTCATGTCAAAGATCATATGTCAAATAAATGTTGGTCTGTCTATATAAATGAACACAAGCCATGTTCGTATTTCGGGTTAACAGAAGGATTGAGTGATTGAAGCGGTTTTTACCGTTTTGCTTAATGCTCAATATGATATAATACTTCAGATATTGTCAACATGTGGTTGTTGAACACAGGGCCTCGACAAGACGTGACACGATTTTCACAACTAATTGTAAAGTTTGAAGAATGTTCATGCACCTGTTGAATCCTTCAACATACGTGTACATGTATTTTGATTAAGAATTGATCGTGTGCTTGTTGATGTTCGTCAGCGACTGAACACGGCGGCCCCACGCAAGGAACTCATTGAAGCGCGAAATGTTTCATGGTGAATCTGTGCGTGATCAGAATCCTTCGTCAACCGATGAACGTCAACAAGTACGCATTTTATCGTCCAACAGTTCAGATAGAGCACAAGGATCAAGAATCAACAAGAAGGCACCTCAAGATTTAATAGAGAGAACAAATTATTACAAGGATGAATGGGTGTCTTGGAATTATAGCAGTACCACGTCCTTGACAGTCTGCCTAGAGTGACTTCCCTTGACGCTGACGAGACAATATTATGTATTCATATCTATAAATTGATATTTTCTAAACCTTTCAATTATCACCGCAAAATAGTCCATGGCTCACGTTTTTGGGATTCAAACACTACCAGTACACAATTGCTGCAAGTGTGCATTGTGTAACCTATACAGCACATATAAAGAGTTGTATTCCATTGTCATTACATTAATCCAATTCATTTGACAACACGAAAACACTTTAAACATGTACAATTATGCATAGTGACAAAACTAAAAAGTAAAACATTCTCACGTTAGTAAATGTTAACAGAGAAAGATTTTGCCACGCTTAATATATAACTGTCTGTGTCATCTGTGGAATTCAGGACTATGGGTTTTATCACAACTGCATGAAAAGTGTCATATGTTAACTAACGATTCCTCTGTGATGGACATCTCTGTGACGTTAGCATTCCACTTGAAGGAGGACACTGTAGTCTATTGGAGAGTTAATCTCAATTAATTACAATTGTACTAGTAACCCTCGGAAGTCGTTTCTGAAGAATATTTCTTGAATATTGGTTTAGCAGTCAGTCCATGGAAACATGGCTGTCCTAAATGTACCACGTGTTGGTCTTAACTGACTGCGCTAGCCTGACAAGTACTGCAACATGAACTATACACATTCCAATCAACCCTTGACACCTCCAATCTGACAGTTAAACATGAAGGGGTTGTTTCTTGAGAAATCTAATGATATTAGTGCATGCTTCGTACTCATGTGTCCTCATTCCTTATTGCTATCAACCACTGGTGCGTAGGGGCCAGATTCAATCAGTAATTAATTGCAGAAATATGCATGCAACCTTGATAATGTCAGCTTCAGTTAAACACACCTTTCGGTATACTTTTTCTCTCGATTCAAGTATGGGGAGGGTTAAAAAGCAAACGGCGTTATTCAGACGGGTTACGTATATTGATTTGATCACAACCGTCTGAATGACAGGATATAACCACAGGTCTGTGGTAGACCTTTCAGTGAAGGGTTCATCTTCGAGGAGAACACTTCACTGTACTGGAGAGTTGCCTACGGTTCCATACTGGCCACATTCAATCAATTTGATACTGAAAATCTCATTTGGAAGTCTCTGTTATATGGTCAACAGCAAATGATTTCAGTCCAAAGCATAATAATCATAAATCATAAGAATAAATCAAATACACACTTCGTTATCATTGGTTTATCAGACATGGACTCGAGTCACTGTATGGATACACACCACTGACGAGCCCATTCAATAACCAATAAGATACCATTAATGTGACTGATATACATCTTTATTACACCCTAGCGTAATGTCCTGTCACAGCACAAATATCACAAGTACTTGACCATGAAATATACACAGTCCAATAAACCTGTGACCTTGAGTCGCTACCTCTCCAGAGATCAATACTTTTACAACCTGCAATGACGTATTGTTAACGGTAAGTCAGCTTGGCCCCAGGTGAACTAAATGCTGGCCCTTTGAAAGGCGAAACGACTATATGTCCTTTGGGTCTGTTAGGGGAGATAATCATGTTCCTTCATATTTTATCGGTCAATAGCCCTGGAGTATGAGTCATTGTCGGAAGACAGGAATTATTCCAAACGGTGAAATTTGCAGATTGGTGGTGTTGCTCTTATTGGCACAAATCGATATAACGTTTACTTGATGGAAAGTTCATATAAGACGAGGACATTTTTCAGCTTTTTACACATAATCCAATGCCAGTGCAAATGATGGGCATGTTGCCAATATCGTAGGGATTTTCTGGAACAGTTCAGGGCGCTTGTTTAGTGTTATTTTATGCCATAAATAATTCAGGCCCGATCCATATTTGTGAGACACTTTCCATTTTATAACCCTAAACCGTTATTACCCATGAGGTAAGAAATTGTCTATACAGACCATTAGACACATAGGGTCCAAGCAACCAATAATGTATAAACGTATTTAAATTTAGACATAAACACTTCCAAGATGATTCGTTTACAGCAGAGCGACAACATTTCTACTGTGGGCTTTATGATGGTATACTATCTGCATTATCACACTGTCAGATATCTGCGGTTACACAGACCTTAGCAGAAGTATATCTTGTATAAAACACGCACCACGACATAATACTCATTATTTGATATTAATGCATTCATTATAAGGGACCCGTGAAGGTCCGGGTTCTTCAGCAATATTGATCTTCAGCAACCCATGCTTGTCGTAACAGGTGACTAACGGGATCGGGTGATCAGGCTCGCTGGGCTGCTTGACACATGTCATCGTATTCCAATTGAGTAATTGATACTCATGCTGTTGATCACTGGATTGTCTGGTCCAGATTCGATTATTTACAGACCGCGGCCAAATAGCCGGAGTATTGCGGCGATACACAACTACCAAACCAAACCAATCAGATATTCAATTATCTGAAAGATTCTTCTTTCAGTTGTAGAAGCTATGAGCTCCACTATCAATAACGACAAACACGGATATTGTCTAGAAATAATGCCACATTAGTGGTTTAATGACAAGCAGGAACTAAAAAAAAATGCAAAAGCATCAGATGTTGTCAAAGTCGCCAAAGTGTTCTGGAACAGCTCTTTGAGCTGCCTTAGTGTTCATCCAGGCAATAAATATTGCAGTCAAATCCATGGGTTAGAGATAATTGTCACCTTGCACCTAATCAATAAATGCAGCTATTGGTGATGGGGTCACAAATTGAAACCATTGAAAACGGGCATAGAAAATGTCTCTGCAGATCATTAAAACTTGTAGGATCCAAGGAACCGTTGTGTTTACTGGCTGCTTATTGTCCATAAAATGTTTCTCATACAGACGTCTTGGGTGATCCTCTCTTGTGCTTTCAATATCATATCAAAGGACTGTCCGACTTTAGTAGAAAGATATCACTAAAGAAATGCTCATGGGTAGAGAGTAGGACTTTCAAACACGGATCTAGTTCAGTAAAAGGAAGCTACTTCAAACGACTTCATTAGGTTCTCAAGAATAACATCCTGTCCATGAGGTCGAATTTATCAAGAAATCTCCCGATCGGAAATTGGACAGAAAATAATGCATTCCCATACTTCCAAGTTGATTTGTTGAGTGCAGAGCGACAATATTTCTACTGTGGACTTTGTGATGGTATGCTATCTGTATTATCACAAATATCTTTCTATAGAGCAGCAGTTACAACAGCAGTATGTCTTGTATACAACCCGCACCACGACATAATAATCGTTGTTTGATTGTAATGCCTAATTGTGCGGGCCTAATCAGTATGTTTTGACAGTGACGACCAGTAGCGTGTTGTATTCCTGATGGTGTTAATGCTGTGTGTAGTACATGTGGAATTCTCTTCCAACCAATGTGACTGAAACCAATGCTAGCTTAAATACAGCGGAGTCCAAACAAATCGGGAACAAACTAACGACAATGGTTCTGTGTTATCTTGTATGATCACAATCGGTCATTTACTGCAAGGATAGCTTCAGTGAAACCTAAAGCTATCAGTCATGCACCCATGAGGCTTTTTTATCCAGGTGCATGACAACCAAAGAAGGTAGTGTAGTGGTTGAGTATTCAAACAGTTGTTGGCCAATGAATTGAGCAACCATTTCAGATCACCACCGGTGATACC